GACATTTTTCAGTTTAAAAATAAATCTCATTATTATTTACGTAACGTTTACAAAATTATTTTTGGAGAAAAAAAAGGACCGGAAAAGAAGGAGACAAACAAAGAGAGAGAGAGAGAGAGAGAAACGATCAAAGTTTTGTAAATTTTTTTTTTGTCCAGGTTTAAAACGTCATAGGAATTTCACGTGAAAATAATAATAATAATAATAATTTTTGTAAAATGTCGTAATTGGTTCGATAACCCGAAATAACAACCGTGATAATAAAGTAAAAAAACAACCACCAAACAATAATATTGTGACAACTTCACGTACTGGAAAAAAAATTATTATTATTATTATTATTATTAAAACTACACGATGGAAGCACGTTGAAGAAATACGTGGTTGTCTTTGTGGTTGTTGTTGTTGTTTTATTTCCGAATGAATTTTTTTTTTTTTTTTTCATGCTCGGATGAATTTAACAACGAACAATCCAATTAATGTCACATCGTGTGTTTGTCGTCTACAAAATAATTACGTCGACAAACGAAATGACCGATGTCGTCAACGCGTTTGTTTATAATTCTTCCTCGTAAAATTTTTTATTTCTTTTTTTTTTTTTTTAAACTTTATTAACAAAGTTTCAGAAAGAAAAAATATACGGACGCCATTTTATAAAAAATCAAACGAAAAAAATAAAATTTTTCCATAGAGAAATTAAAACAATTAAAAAACGTAAGCCATTTTGTTTTTTCTGAAACGTTTGTAAAACCTGGAATCACATTTAATCGAATAATTATATTTTTTTTAAAAATGAAAATTAAAAATAAATCGAGAGAGAGACTCCGGTCATATTATTTAATTGATTCAATTAAAATCCGAAAAAAAAAATGTTTCAAAACTATCATCATCAACATCGCCGCCGCCATCACCACCGCCGCCATTATTAACACCGAATCCGAATGAAATCGCATTTTTCCAGGATGTGTGCGTAAAAAAAAATAGTAAAAATGTGATAGGATCAAATAAAAGGAAAGAAAAAGTAAAAAAGGAAAAGTTTCGAAACTTTTTCGAATATTGCGATGACGTCACAAGGCGTTTTATAACGAAAACGAGTCGCGTAAAAATTTTTTTTTAAATTAGGCGCCATTTCGTGATTGAATAATCGTCGACGGCATAAATTATAAAACGTAAATGATTATTTAATTTTTTAACATTAATTATTTGTTCATTAACGATCGATAAAATCAATCAATTTATCGATTAACCATCGATCAAAAATCGATTTTCCGCCATTTTTTTTTTAACGAAAACGTTATTACGTCATCGTTTTTTGGTTACAGGGTTCATCACATTCGTATTCTTATCTTATCCCTTATTATTGTTAAATTTACGTAAAAGGAGGCATTTTACAGAGTGAAAAAAATCGAATTGAGGCATTTTACAGCGTTAAAAAAATTTTTTTTTTAATTTATCGCGAGTAATTTATTACCCTGAGGGGATTTTTTATGAGTACATCGCGTATTATGTAAATTTTTTCCGTTTTTTTTTTTTTTTTTAAATGTCATTCAAACGTTAAACAAACGTAATTAATGAGATCGAGAAAAAAAAACGAATTTTTTTTTCCTTTGTCAATATTAAGTAGGCGTTTGTTGTTTGTTTTTTTTTTCGGTAGTGGTTTTAGACAAGTCTTTCATAATTTACGCATCGAAACGATTATTTAAAAAAAAAAAAAAATGTATATATGGTAAAAGGCGCCAACAACTCTCCTACCCACCTTTTTTTTCATTTTCTTTTCCCACGGTAAAAAAAAAATAAAAATTTAAATAAATCGATAAATCGATAAATTTTAAATATATCGATTATAATCCCCCTCTTTTTTCAATAATAATAATAATAATAATAATACTTTAAATTTATTTTAAGAGTCATTTATATAAAAAAAAATTTTTAGGTTGACAAAAAAAAAATTCCAAACTCGCATCCGATACCTAAACAACCATTAAAATCACCACCGCACACACACACACACGCACACGCACAAAAGCATTATCATTATTATCATTATTATTATTATTAATCATTGTGCAAACACGAATACACACGAACATTCGAGAAAATTCTTTTTTATAAAGAGAATGTTTTTTTTTTTTTGTCATGTTCTTATTTTTCTTTTTTTTTTTTTTTTTAAATGTGGATAAGATGAAAAAGAAGAAGAGAAAAGAATGGAATAAGAGGTGGGTGTGGAGAATGGGGGGAGGGGGTAGGGTGGTAGGGGGATGGTAGGGTAGATGTTAACAGAAGAAAAAGTAAAAATTCACAACTCATGATTCAAAACAACAAGAAGAAGAAGAAAAAAATATACAATATATATAAATTCCAAAAGAAGGTTTTAAACGTACCTTTTTTTTTTTTTTTTTTCTAAAACCACGTCACACAAATAATTTTTGAGTGTGGCTAAGAATTAATTGAACGTTGTTGACAATTTTTCATGAAAGAAGAATTTTGTCGGCGGTAGTAAAACGTTTTAAAATTCTTTTTTTTGTCACGGAAAAAGAAAACACACACACACACATACACACAATGGATTGCTATAATTTTTCTTTTATTTATTATTATTATTATTATTATTATTATTATTATTATTATTATTATTATTATTATTATTATTATTATTATTATTATTATTTTTGTTCGTTTGTACGGAATCAACAATTGGCATTATTCGATTATGCCCGTTTATCCGGGTAATGGTGGTGGTGGTGGTAATCATTTAAAAAAAAAAAAAACACGAACGAACAAAACATTAAACATTTGAAAAATGTTTCGAAACGTGGGAGGCAAAGCAGGGGACAGGTGGGGGGGCGGCCGCGGGAAGGTATTCAAACACAAAACAAAATTTCCAACCCATCTAATTAAATTTCCCAAAGGTTTTTCATCATCACATAAAAAAAAAAAATTTTTTTCGATCGATTAATTAAAAAAAACGTAAACGAGAATTATTTAATTCATTGAATCGATTCATTCCGAGAATGAATGAATGAATGAATGAATTCAAACGATATCAATAACATTTAAAATTCTAATTAATAATTAAATTCTTTAAAATTTTACGTTTTAAATAACTTAAAAAAATATTTCGAAATGGTAACAACAACAACAACAAATTTATTCATTCCAGCGTCCATTTTTTTTTTTAATGATGATAATAATAATGATTGTGAAGGTATAAAAAAAACCTTATTAAGGATAATAAAAAATATTTTGCTGCGGTTTTAATACCTAAATTTTTTTTTTTTTAAATATTAGTGTTTAAAACCGCGTGCGTTTGATATCGTGTACTACTCGTGTTTGTTTTAAATTCTAATTCCACGACAGGGTAATAAAATATTTGTCATCAATGACCAAAGTAAATTTTTTTTTTTATTATCACGAACTAATTTTTATGAATGAGAATTTATTATTATTATTATTATTATGACGTTATCGATTTATTTTTATCATCGATTGGAAAAGGAAAAAAAAAAAAAATGTATACGAAGAAAATTATTTCGATGCACACAAGGATGGATAATCATTATTTTCACCGCAATTCAAATCCGCAAGAATTTTTTTTTATCCAAAACAAAAAAACAAAATGGCGGAACATGAAAGAATTTTTTTTTTTTTTTTTTCGTATGAAGAATCAATCAATAGTTTTTGGCATTTTTAAATTTTACGCTTGACTAAATAAATTTTTAAGTTTATTGAAAAAAAAAAAAGGTTTTGGAGTTTATGTTTTTTAAAACATTTGTATGTGAATTTTTTTTTCTCTAGTACTCGATAATAATAATGATGATGATGATTTTCTTTTTTTCTTTTCGAACGTAGACGTTTTGACAATAAGTAAAAAAATTTTATTGAAATCGGCGAATCTTTTACCGAAAAAAATGACTGGAATCGAATGTTTTAATAATATTTTGTTTTTTTTTTTCTCCAGCAATGAATAATAATAATAATGATAATAATAAATGTAAGAAAAAGAAGTTAAAAGATTTTTAACGTAAAAGAAGAGAGATAGTTACGCGTTACAATTTTTTTCTTTTTAAAAAAAAAAAACCGGTATTCTGGATCAACCGATTCCAGACGACGGCGGGGAGTGTGAGGGGAGAGGGGGGAAGGGGGCAAAAAGTTGCAAATTAATATCATTAAAAAAAATTATTTTATCGAGATCGAAAAAGAAGAAGAAAGAAAAAAAATTAATTAAAGTTAAAAATTAATTTACAAAAATTACTCTCTCTTTCTCTTTCTCTCTCTCTCTCTGGACATCACAAAATAACAAAAAATGTATAAAATCTCGAATCAAAAAAAAACTTATCATTATTATTAATAATAATCCTGGAAAAAAAAAGCTTTTAAGGAAATTGTAGTAAGAGATGATAAACCCAAAGGGCAACTAACTAACTAACTAACTAAACTAATCGACTAAATAAGTTTTTTTTTTTACGGCTTTTGCATTAACATTTTTTTACCTTTTTTTTTTTTTCTTTCTACTTCATTTATTTTTTTTTTTTTATATTATCAACACACAACTCGAAAGTTCTATGTGATAATAAATAATAATAATAATAATAATAATAATTTTTGTTAAAATTAACCCGACAAACAGGTGAAACAGACGAAATCAAACAAAAAAAAAAATTTTTATGTGAAAATAATCCGAGTGTAAAAAAATCAACGACCCTTTCTTTTCAAATTATTATCATTATTATGATTATTATTATTATTATTTAGGTTTTCTGCGGTATTGATTAAATATCATATTTTGTGGTATTTTTTTAAACATCGATCCGCATATTTTACGCCGCGTACATTAAATTTAACGCGTAAAAATGATTGCCTCGTTACGTGTATATTCGTCGATGTGTCATTTCCGGTAACTTTTTTTTCGTTATGCTTATAATTTGTATGTTTTTTTTTTTTTTTCGGTTTCAGGTTCGGGGATATGCTATTTTCCACCGGGTCTTCAAGGTCAATTCGAAATGCAGTCGAGCTTGGCAGAAGGTCAACAAGTTCAATATTCTCCAGTAAATATAACAATCGAAGCCATACCGATATGGGGACAATGTCATAAAAAAGTTGGAAATAATTTCATATTGAGAGATGAGTGAGTTATTATTATTATCATCAATTAATCGATTTAATAAAAGAAAGACAAATGGTTGGAATAATAATAATAATAATAATAATAAACAACCTCGAGCAACTCTATAAATAAATAATAAAAAAAATATCGTTTTACAATTTTTTTTTTTTTTTTTTATTTAAAAAAAAAATCAATGAAATCGATATTCATTCAATCAATCCGTTCGTTCGTTCGTCAGTTAGTCAATCAGTCAGTCAGTCAATCATTCAACGGTTTTTGTTTCCTTTTATTTTTTTGAAATTTGAAACGAGGATAATATTTCTAATAAGATATTCGTAACACGTGCGTTTTTTTTTTTTGTTACGGTCATCACGGAATGTCACCTTTGTTTTTTCTTTGTCTTCTCCTGCTGTTGCTGTTGCTGCTTCTATCCAATTAAACATAACCTTTTACCGTTACAGATCCGGCGGGGGTGATTGCATAAGATGTTTTCATTTAAATCTAAGATCTAAAAACGTATTACAAGTATTGACGGAAGGTTTGGATAAATGTTACACGAGCGAAGAAGTTGCCAAAAACACGTGTCCAAATGCTAATTCGGTTAATTCTCACGCCATTAAAGAAATTCTTTTATACAGTAAGTATCATCATCATCATTTAACGACTTTTTATAAAAATTATTATTTAATTAAAATTATTGTAAAAAAATCAAGAAGAAGATAGAGAAGAATTTGCTGTCGAACAACTTTCTAAATTTTAATAATAATAATAATAATAATAATAATAATAATAATAATAATAATAAAAACAAGTTTTTTTGTCGTGATAATTAAATTGCGTATGTTTTACACACGCATGTGATAGAAGCCATGTTATTATTATTATTAATTTTTTTTTTTTTGTGAAAATTCAAGTTCCGATCGTTTTTTTTTTTTTTTTGTTCGGTTACTATCAGTTAATTACAAGGGAGTTCGATATTATTATTTTTTTGTTTAATTAATCAAATTAAATTTTTATTAACAAATTGTTGTTGTTGTTGTTGTTACGCAGAAATAAAAGACATGAATGGAGAACCGACAAAAAGAGAATATTGTCCGATAAATGGAAAATTTTCATTTATTTATAACATAAACGATGGTTCGGATACAAAAATCGAATGTCCGCAATATACATCAAAAGCGGACAATTGTCCATCGGGTTCAACGTTTAATTTACATTTTAAAAGATGTTCTTTCGAAGATCACGGTACGTAATTTTTATTATTATTATTATCACAATTTTTTTTAATTAGCGGTTTTAAATAGCCAACGAATTGTAAACGAATTTCGCGGTCAATGTCCTTCCCCCTAACATTTTCGGTCTTTTACCGTCTGATAAAAAAATTTCTAATAAAAGGTTCGAAAAGTTTGCGGTTTTTTTTTTTTTGTTATTTTGGTGGTACCTGTTATTACGATCGATATCGTTCGATTTCCGGTCTTAATGTTAATAATGGAAGATATTAATTTACAGATATAACTTTCGACTGTTTGGGTCATTGGGATGGACCAAATAATGAAAAATATTTAACGTTACTCGATACTAGAGTAGGAGGAGATCAAAGGCCACAATATCGATGCGCGGTAATTAATTAAATAAAAAATTTAATATAAAAAAAGAAAAACCTCCCCGGAAAAATTTAAATCTTTTTCTTTTTTTTTTTCCATGAAAGTTATTCAAATCAAATCCGAAAACTGGATTGATACACATAGCATTTTCCAGCGATTCGACATGCGGTACCGATTTAGTTAGTGCAACGGAAGGTTACGAAGTATTAACGTTACAAAAAGAACCACCGAGTGAATGGCCAATAGAAGTCATGACAAGCATTTGCCGGTAATTATTATTATTATTATTAATTTCATTAACTCGAAAGAAAGAAAGAAAAGTAAAAAGAAAAATGTTTTCCCCCCAGATTTCCCAACTGGTCTCAAGGTGTTTGGGAACATTTACACATAGATGGTAACGGATTAACTTATAGAGATCATTCATCGTTTAAAACGTTTAATCTAAGATGTATAGGATCTGATACTGGAGTCAGAGAAAGGATTCCAGTTTTTGTTAAATCTCATTGGTAAGCGGAAAATTTTCTTTTAAAAGTTTTCCATCATTCTGTTTTTGTAAACGATTAAATTACATTTACAGCGGAGAAGAAAAAGAATATAATTGTTTATGGCTTAAAAAAAGAAGTGAAAACGTTTTGGAATTTCAATTGAGACAAAAACCGAGTGCTTACTATGACGAAACACTTTGCGAAGATGAAAATTTCGACAGTCAAATATGGATAACTCAAGCCAGTAATAATAATAATAATAATAATAATATTAACTTACGAATTTTGAAGCGATTAAATCGTAGATGGTATACGATGGTACATCTTTGTTGTTTTCAGGGTTGGATAAAAACGAAGAATCCCCATGTCCGGTCTCGGGTTTATACACGGGCAACATACCAGACGAAACAAGTTTGTGTGCGAGGCTGTCATCCAATTGTGAATCCCTAGACGTTATGTTTTACAGCGTTATGGATTGTGCATCGCATCAAGTGTTCGAAGATAGAGAATATAGATGCTTGGGCCAGTGGAAAGAAGGAAATTTATTATATACTTACACACAAAGAACGGATGCGAGCGCTTACGAATGTTTCGTCGGTTTCATTATGTCGAATCACGAAATATACATCATAGAAGCTGGAGAACACTGCGATAGAAAATTAGATCCATTTAGATTCGGAATGAAATTGTTAAGAAAAGGTATTATATTTATTATTATTATTATTATTATTATTATTATTATTATTATTACGTACCGTTCGTTCGTTGGGTGATCCTCGACGGTTTTTTTCTCTTGAAGGTTCTTGCACTGAAAACATATCATCGACGATAAGTAAAATAATTCCGCCGCAAACAACGACGACTTTATCAACATTGAAACCCATAAGGCCAAGTTCATCGAGACCACCGTGGAAAACATTGACCGAACCGCCATATTTAGATATCGAATCGAACGATGTATCGTCATCTCGTAATTCAGCATCCCATACATTATCATTATCATCATATAAAACTTTGTTCCTATTAGTTATTGTTTTAAATCAATTTTTTAATATTTTCGAACATACGTAAACGTTTTCATAAGTTAATACGAAAAAAGGTTTTATTTTTTTCATTTCAATATAATTTTAATTTTATTTATTATCATTATCACTATTATTATTATTATTAATTAAAATTATATTGAAATCGATATTGGCTCATAATAAAATGTGGCGCCACTATATTTTTATTTTTGAAAAGTGTAAATAATAAAATAAATTTTAAATTTGTGCGTGTGTGAATTATTGGCGCGTTTGTAATAAAAAAAAATCTAAAAAATCTTAACGATCGATTTATCGTATCGATTTTATCGATCGATTGATCGATCAATCGATATCTTAATGACATTTATTTACATCTTTACGAATAAAAAAAAAAAAAAATTATCTGTGATACGTTTTACAATTAAAAAAAAAAAATAATTTTTTTTCATTTTCATTTTTTTTTTTTTACATTCATTTTATCGTCGTGACGTATACTACTTTATGGTTGTAGTTTATTATTATTATTATTAATTGTAATAAATTTTTTTTTTATTTAAATATTATGTATATTATTATTATTATTAATTATTTAATAAATATTTTTTTTTCTTTCGTATCTATGGTTTTTTTTTTAATATTTACATGCATAAAAAATTTTTTTTTTTTCATTTGACTAAATATTATTATTTATATTAAAAAGTAATGATGATGATAATAATAATAATAATAATAAATAAATTAATCTAAAGTGAAATTTTTTAATTCCGTATAATCCGTGTTCCTATATAATTTTTTATATAGGATAGCTTTGTCTAAACTTCTTTTTGTTTTGTTCAGCCTGAAAACAAACAGAAAACAATAAAAAATTGTTATTAAATTTTTATTATTAATATACACGACACACGTGATTTATTTAATAATAATAATAATAATAATAATAATAATAATAACAACTTTTAGTTCTTTTTCTATATAAATTCGATATTTGAAAAAAAAAAAGTTTTTTTTTTGCTGAGGATTAATGAAATACAATACGATTCTCTCTCTCTCTTTCTCTTTTAAATTGAATTGAAATTAAATTTAAAATGTTTTTTCAATTCTCACGAATTGTGAAAAGAAATTTTTTTTCTATTTTTTTTTTTAACGTATCAAATTTAATAAGTTTTGTTTTGAATGATTTTTCATATTATTATTATTTTCACTCGGTTCACTCATTCCGTTTCTTTTTTTTATTACAATAACCTTGTAATCAACAAAGAATTATTATTATTATTATTATTATTATTAAATAATATTTAATTTTATAGACGGGGAAATGATTTTTTTTTCAAAACTTATAAAATTCATCGATTCGCTTACTTATCAATTAGGTTTATACTTTTTCGTTTTATTCAATGTATTGGGTTGGCCAATAAGTAACTGCGGATTTTACCAATGGACAGTTTGTCCATTTTTTTGAGTACGTTTACGTTTTTGTACAGACATGAACTTTTGATATATTATTACTTGGTTCCTTCTGTAACATTCGGTACCATAATTTCATTCAAATCTTAAATAGTGCGCGAGCAAAAGACATTCAAACATGGGGAGCCAAAGCGAGCATTTCCTCCACATTTTCCTTTTTTATTTTTGAAAAGGTGTTAATACTTCACAAGTTCATAAAAAGTTGTGGGCAGTGTAAGGTGATGAAGCCTGAACGACAGTGTCAAACCTAGTTGGCGAAATTCCGTTCTGGAGATTTTCCTTTGAAAAATGAGGAGCGCTCCGGCGCCAATTGGAGGTTAAAGATGAGCAAATAAAGGCCCTCATTGATTGTGATCGGCATACTTCGACTAAGGACATTGAAAAGAAGCTAGATGTGTCACATACGTGCGTCAAAACCGTCTACGGCGTCTTGGGTGCCAAAAGAAGCTTGATGCGTTACTTTGGGGAACGTTAGTTAACGAGGCGACTTGGTCTTTGCGATATGCTTCTTAAACGCAATGCGAATGACCCTTTTTTGAAAGAATGGTCACCGGAGATGAAAAGTGGGTTGTTTATGATGACTTTTTGAGAAAAAGATCCTGGTCTAGGCAAGGAAACAGGCACCAACAACTTCTAAGGCTGACATTCACCAAAAAAAGGTATTGTTATCATTTTGGTGGGATTACAAAGGCATAGTCTACTTTGAGCTGCTGCCACGAAATCAGATCATAAATTCAGAGGTTTACATTCGACAATTGACAAATTTAAATGATACCATCCAAGAAAAACGACCGGAGCTAGCCAATAGCAAAGGAATTGTCTTTCATTACCATAATGCCAGGCCCTCCCCATCTTGAGCCACTGGACAAAAACTACTGGAGCTAGGCTGGGATGTTTTGCTGCACCCTCCATATAGTCCCAAACTAGCTCCAAATAATTATTATTTTTTCCGATCCCTAAAAAATTTTTTGAACGGACAAAAATTCCAAAACGACAATGAGGTCAATCGTACTGCATTGGACCAGTTTTTTGCTCCTAAAACTAAAGAGTTTTATGAAAAAAGGAAAATGATACTACCCGAAAAATGTCAAAAGGTCACTAATAATAATGGACATAACATAATAGATAAAAATAATTTTGCATAATTATTAAATCGCTTTTTGTTTTCTTAAAAAATTCGTAATTACCTTTTTGCCAATCCAATATAACAAATTGCATATTAAATAAATTTTTAGGCGAACCCCAAAAAAAATCTTTTAAATATTATGTACGTAAATTTAACTTACCCGTACCTCGTTTCCCTCTCAACTGTCATCATCCATCCATCATCCATCATCATCCATCAAGATGTCAAAATATAATAATCATGTGAAAAATTAAATTAAATAAAAAAAATTTTTTTTTTTTGTAAAATGTAATCATTATAATCAACACAAATGACGAAAAAAAGAAAAAAAAAAATACATGCGAGTAAAAAAAAAAAGAAAAAACGAAAAACAAAACGAAAAAAAAAAAAACATGCCATTTTTTCAAAATCATTATTATTATTATAATAAACTTAATAATAATAATAATAATTATTCAAATTAATTTTTTTTTTTTTATTATTTTACCCACGAAATATTTTTCGAATAAAATCCTTCAAAAAAAAAAAAAGTAAAACGAAAACAAAAAAAAAAAAATTAATAATTATTATTATGATTTGAGGATGTTTCGCCAGCAAAACAAATCCTCTCTCTCTCTCTTTCTCTCTCTCTCATCGTTCAAATAAAAACAATAAATAAAAAAAGAAAAAAAAAAAATGCCTGAAAAATACTGAAGAAAAAATAATTCATTTAAAAATTGTTTCCTGCGAAACTTTTTACTCGTAATTAATACACGTTCGATGCCATTTAAAAAAAAAAATCCAAGTCGAACGTCTCGATTGTGTATTAAAAAAAAAAAAAAAACTAATTAAATCTTATGTAAAATTTATGCGAATTAAATTTCGGTTGTTAGTTAAAAAAAAAAAACAAACAACAAGAGCAACAATTTTCAAGTCAAAAAAAGGGGAGGAGGGGCGACGTTTTAGTCAATCGAACCGTTCGCTTTTCCGTACCACCTTCAACACAATTAATTATATCACAGGCAATGTTACTGTTTGGTTTCGCTGTGTGTGTGTGTGATTAAAAAAAAAAAAAAAACAAATTTCACGACATCCTTTCAGAAAACAAACAAAATCCAAAATCATCTGAAACGAAATAATAATAATAATAATAATTAATTATTAATTAATAAATACAATAAAAGAGGGGAGGGGGGGAAAGAACGGGTTCTTTACCTCACCAAATGCAGCCTCCGGTAAAAATTCCGAGGAATATTACGGCTGTTATAACGAGAGGCAACGTCAAATCGTTTGCCGTGGCAGCAGCAGATACTCTCGCCATTTTGTTCTCGTCTTCCTCCGAATGAGAAAGCAACAAAGACGATGAAAAATCATTTTCGTTCGACGACAGTCTTTTTCCGAAAATGTGCAGCAAATCCATGACGACTCCGTTCGTCCATCCGAATCCCAATTGAACGTCGTATTCACCACCCGATCCGTGACCACCGACGACGGTTGCGTCGTACTATTTTCAAACGATAAATCATCATCATCATCATCATCACTGCCCCCCGCAAAATCCTCTTTTTCATTTTTTTTTTCTACTTACTTTTTCGTACATGTGACCCGTTTCGTTGTACGCCACGAAATTTGATTTAACCCATCTGCTTGCGATTTCGTATGCCAATTCTTGTGCCCATTCGTCTCCCGTGTTCATCAAACCTTTCACGACAATGTGCTGTAGGGGAGGCCATGCGTTCGGGTAATCCCACTGTTCGTTTGTGTGATCGAACGTTGTTGGCACGCCTCCCAAAAACGTGACCATTATTTGTTTTTGTTGAATGTACTGGCGCCCCAAAACGGAGGAAAAAAAAAATTCGAAGATAAATCAAATTTTTCTCACTTTCTCATCCTCCCAATCAATCAATCAATCAATCACTCACTTTCATAACTTTTCCGACTATGTATTCCTTTTTCGATTCGTCGTAGCAACCCGTCCATAGAGGAGCCATGTTGGTCGGAAAAAAATAATCTCTTTCTTTTTCGTTTATCAAATCGTAATCCAACCACGCACCGACTTCGTCGACCCACAATACCTGAAACGTACGATGAACGAACCTGTTTGTTTTCATTTAACCCCCAAAATTTTTTTTTTTTTTTTTTTTAATTTAAATTTTCTCACCTCGGTCACTGCTTTTAAAATCTCCGACGCTTTGGATTCGTAATAATTTGCTTTGGTAATGTTTCCCACCATTTTGGAAAAGTAACATAATAATTTGGCGTTCCAGTACAAAATTGAATTCAAATCCACAGGTACGATGTATTTGGTTTTCGTATCGGTTAAATTTCCTGTGAAATAAACCTTTTTCTTGTTAGAAAATCTCTAAGGCAAAAATTCGACTCGGTCACATCTCTCTCTCTCTCTCTCTCTCTTTTTCTCTCTCTCTTTCTCTCTTTCTCTCTCTCTCTCTCTCCCTCTCTCTTTCTCTCTTTCTTTCTCTTTCTATCTCTCTTTCTTTCTCTTTCTCTCTCTCTTTCTTTCTCTCTCTCTCTCTCTCACCTTTGTTTGTACCGTTTTTGATAAACCAACGACTAGAAAAATCCCATCCAGTCTCGGCAGCTGCTTTCAATTCCGAATAATATTCCTGTTTTTCTTTTTCCGTTTTAAAAAAAGATGCGGATAAAAAATCTTCTCTGGAAAAAACAATTATTATTATTATTTTAGTTTCGTTTTGACAATTTTGATTTTTGGGTACGTGTGAGGCATACCTATAGGATTCAGGTCGAGGACCTTGGGATCTATCAATGTATCTATAAAGTGTATAATTGACGGCATTTTTATCGACCGATACAGAATGATTTGTCATCCAGTAATTAAATTCTTTTTCCAGTATGTGAAGGTTTCTGTGTAAAAATTCAACGTCTTTTGTCGCTTCCAGGTATTCGTACACCATTGGAATAAATAGCGGAGGATGAGATCTCATCAAATAATAAATTCTTCCGCCGTTCGGTATGTGTCCGTAAGCATCGACGATGAATGAAAAATTTTCCAACATTCCTGAAAAATTCGATACGAAACCGCGTTGAGAGATATTTTTTAAATTTGTTTGGTCCTCCTCCTCCTCCTCCTGAGATTTATTTACCTTTGACGGTACCAAACATTTCGGATAATATTAAACCTTTTATTATCCAGTATGAATCCCAATAATAAAATTCTCTAAATCTACCTCCAGGAACTATGACGGGATAAGGCACGTATAAAATTGAATACAAATGAGAATTTAATTTGACATCGTCCTTCATTTTTTTCCCAAGGAAATTCCACAAAATGTGTAGTTGATTTGCCCAACGTCTTAAAAAAAAAAATCCAAAGACATAATGATGATGATGATGATGATGATGATTATGATTATTATTATTAAATAAGAAAATTTACTTGTCAAAAAACTTAATAAAAAAAAAAAAAAACCTGTAATTATGATCTTCTATGCCTTGTAAAAATTTTGGATTTTTTTTCCAGTCGCTCGGCGTCCAATCTTCAAATTCTTTTCCAGCCGGATCGAAATAATCCGTTACGAAATTTTCCAAATCGCTCGGTGTGGGTTCGTTATTTGTTTTTTCTAAAAATAATTTGAACTGATAAAGAGTTTCGTTCGACGAAAACTTCAATTTCATGTCGACGAAAGTTTTCGAATCTGGATAAAGGTGAGCCATTTGTACGGTGTGCAATAATTCACCATAACAATAAATATTACTGGAAAAGAAAATTTGAAAAATTTCAATGGTGACCAGCGTTCATGATCGTTCCATTACTTTTCATTTCTGCATTTATCACTATGACGTCATCGGGAATTTTTTTTTTTTTTTAATTTCTGACCGCTTTTATTTTTTATTTTTTTGTTAATCATTAAACACTAACTTGTTCTTACTTGTCACAAGGGTGAGGCAACACAGATTCCTCGCTACCTAATGCCGACCCTGTCGAAAAAGATAAAAATACGAAAAGAACCCATAATGACGTCATCATGTAATTTCGATACTTTTTCGTTCCGAATGATCCTGATTGATTCCATTCTATGTAATCACACTCTCCCGCTTTGTTCGGTAACGCAAAATTCATTTATCTCGCTTCTCACGCTCTGAAACAATTTTCTTCTAGTGTTACGATGTACCTGAAACCGCAGACGACGACAAAAAAAAAAAAAAAAAAATTAAAAATCGAATCGAATTTTAACGGTCCGATTTCTTTTAGGGGATCAATGTCAACGTAATAATGTTGTTGTTGTTGTTGTTGTCACTCGTCACCGTCGACCCAAATTAAATTTTAAATTCGTTATAAAAACTTTGTATAATTAAATATAAACTACTGCGAGATAATTTAAAAAGGCGTGCGTGTGCGTGTGCGTGTGCGTGCGTGCGTACGCGTCTGTATCATCATTTACGATAAGATAAATCGACGGCAGACGAAATACGAAATTATTATTATTATTATTTTTAAAAATTATTTTATTGCCAGAAATACAATCGAAGCGAAAACGGTTTTTTTTTTTTAAAAAAAAAAAAAATTTTCCGACGAAAAATAACAAAATTTTTTTTGTCAAAAATTTTCCAATCGAAAACTCAATGAAAATTAATCGATAAAAACCTGAATTTTTTGTTTTGTTTTTTGGGTTAAAAATAAAAAAAATGATAACCCAATTTTTATATCGTTCTCATTATTATCATTATTATTTATTTATTTATTTTTTTTAATGTTGTTTTTTTTTTGTGCGTGCGTGATCCGGAAAAGATGCTGCAATTATCCGTTGATATTTCAATCAGACGTGACGATACCTTATTGACTATTGGGAAAACCGGAAATAAAAAAAAAGGACTCGACTTTATTCTCATTACCCTTACTTATTGAAAAAGTTTTCAAATTTTCCAATAAAGAATCGGAAAATATTTATCATTATTATTATTACGTCCGTTTCGCACGTTTTTTTAAATTTAAATGTCACCTCACGTAAATTTCCACGTACCACGGTCAGGCACACACACACAAAATTAAGGTTACGCAGTTTTTTGTTTTCCTTTTTGTTCTATGCAAAAAAGTACATAAATGCCTACTCATTATCATCAAAACAATAATGGAAGAAAAGAAAAGAAAAAAAATTTTTTTTTTTTTTTTTTTTTTTTTGGGGGCTTTTCCACATTCCATTTTTTTTTTGACCTTCTTATTATCATTATCATTGCCACAAAAACTATTTGACATTTCGAATACCTAACATGTCGTGCCTGACCTGACTTAATTGTCGTTCGTACAATTGACAATCCCTTACTCATCCCATCCTTATTTACATATCCATCCATCCATTATTTTTCCCTTTTAAACCGAATTGATAAATTTTTTGCATTTCACGCCTTTCGCGGCAGTACCTAGGTACGCACATTCACGTGACACGCAATCAAAAACAATTATTATTATTATTATTATTATTATTATTATTATTATTATTATTATTATTTTAAAAATTTCTAATTCATCGAGAAAAAATAAAATAAAATAATCGACAAATAGTACAGAATAAACGATGATTGAAAATTAATCGGACAAAGTGCGTGCATGCGTGTGCGTGTGTGCTGAGGTCGCTGACCTTTTTCCCCTCTTTACTACGGATTCATTCATATCAAAAACACTTTTTGATTAAACTTATAAAAAAAAAAAGAAACCAAACAAAATAAAAACATTTTGAAAAATCAAAAGTAAAAAAAAAATTTCATTTGCCAAAACGCAGTAAGTATTACGTAAAACGAAAATAAAAAAAAAAAAACAAAAATAATAATAATAATAATAATAATAATAATAATAAAATAATAATAATAATAATAATAATATAAACTTTTTTTTTTTTTTTTTTTTTTTTTTTTAAATTAAATTACTCGCGTGTACGTAAACGATAGCAAAAAAAAAAATTTAAAAAAACTAAAATAACGTTTCAATTTTTAATTTACATAAAAATTCGAGTTAATTAAAAAAAATAATAATAATAATAATTAATACATATATCTATAAATTAAGGCCCCTTTCCGCGCCTTAAACGCTTACGGCCAATTTTTATTATTATTATCGTTATTAAATTAAATTTATCGTTTAATTATACTCTTTCCCCCCCCCCCCCCAAAAAAAAAAAAAACAGAAAAAAAAGTCGAATATATTTTGTTTTGTAACTTTCCAGACGGTTTCGTCGGAAATTCCGGTACGCGAAATTCATTTTCGTTCATCATCGTGACGTCATAGGTTTCGCGTAAAAATTCTTGCGAAAAAAAAAAAGAAAAAAAAAAAAAAATGTAGCAAAAACGAGTTTATTCGATGTCACAGAACCGCATTGAAAAATGCCTTGGGGGGCAATACGATCAAAAAAAAAAAAAAAAAAACACGACGCGATAGTACTGGAAATTTAATAATAATAATAATAATATTAATAATAATAAATCCGATATTTTACGCGTATATTAAAGCGAAAAAGGGATTAACGCCGAGATTATCATCATCCCTTTCCAGTCGGATTAACGTTTGATGCAATTCAAATTATTTATACAACTAGTTTTGATTAACGCAAAAAAAAAAAAAAAAAAACAATGGAAATTACTTATTTCCCGCAACAACAATAATAATAATAATAATAATAATAATAATCGACACACATTACGGGACGATGAATACAAAAGAGAGAGAGAGAGACAAATAAAAATTATAATTATACGATTCTTTTAAACCAGGAAATGTCAAGTCGAGCGATGCGGAATTTATGGGTGAGGCTTCCATTCGTAAGCTAAAAACTTTTTTCCTTTTTCCCCTCCCCCCTTCCCTATCTCCTCTTTTCCAATTATACCAAAAAAAAAAAAAAAAACTATTCGTCCCCAAAAAACGGGATTTATAAAACCTTAATAAATCTCACGCATTTTCCCTACGCCATATTTGTTTGATTAACGCGTCGGTAACGGCCGTAAATAAGAAAATCTTGACCCGGGTTAAAACAAGAGTTTTCCTATTTATTTATTTATATTTTGTGCGTGTGTGTGTGCGTGCGTTTTTCAGAGCTTTTCCATCCCCCTCCCCCCAATTTTCTTCCCCCACTCGAGTCCGTGTGTAACATAGTTGGTGAACATCCAATTAAAACCGAAAATTAACGTCAAAAAAAAACTTTTAGCCAAGGTCGTCGTGACGAATTTGTTTTTTTTTTTTTTTTTTTTTTTTTGCAACAGCAATTAAATATTATTTTATTTAAAATAAAAATAAATAAATAAATAAATAAAACGAAATAAAATAAAATAAAAGTCAGTGTTTTTTTTTATGAATTTTTTTTTTTTTTTTTTTTCGGGTACATTAATTTTTTTTTTTTTTTTTTCTTTGGGGGCATTACAAAAAAAAAAAAAAAAAAAAAAAAACAATTTAAACAAAAGATAAAATAATATGAGAAAATTAAATGTGAACTAATGCATGACAAAAAAAAAAAAAAAAAACAAGAAAAATCTCTCACCGGTGGGTGGAAAGTCAATTAACTTTGGCATCGAATCCGCACAAAAAAAAAAAAAAAAAAAGAAAATGGAAGAACCTACGTAAAACTCGAAAGTTGAATTAATTAATTAAAGTGAAAATATTTTTGTGTGGTTTAAAAGTCCGGATTCCTAGTCAAAAAAAAAAATAATAATAATAATAATAATAAAAACCATTCCTTTTACCAACCAAATTAAAAAAAATTTTTCTCGAACTTTCCTTTCTCCGTAAGAAAAACAAACGATAAAAACAAAAACTAAGTGAAAATCTTAAAACTTTCAACTGTTTAGAGTTTCAAGAAGAGTTTCCGCAAAACACGTGACATTTACTATACAAGTCGTGGCTGTAGAAAAAAATAAAAATAAAACTTGAAAAATTCAAAATTTTCCCAACTTTTCCCTGTCAAACGTATTATACTGTAACGCATCTCTTGTCATTTTACCGGTCAAATTTCCACTTGAAAAAAGTTTTCCTTTTTCTTTAATAAAAACAAGTCTCCATAAAATTTTATAAATCGATTTCTATGGAAGTAAAAAAAAAAAAAAAAAAAACTTTAAACTCGTTAAAATAATTTACGGCTTTACTGAATTAATTCACTTTTTATTTTCATTATAAATTTTTTGTTTATGAACTTCGATCCGAGTAATGCGTATTAAACGTCAAAATAAAAAAAAGGAAAAGAAACAGGAAATGTAAAAACAAACGCAGCAAACTTATGAGAAAAAAAAGCGTGTTAAAATCGCGTCAAAACTTTTTAAAATTTGAAAATTAAAAGTTTCAAAACTTTTAAACATATCAAAAGCGACGACGACGTTTCCATTCAAAATTTTTAACGGAAAAAAAAAAAATTTTCCTCTCAAACTTCCGACCACTTTAACTTTTGTTTTTGTTTTTTAACTCTTTAATTGTCTCGTAAATAATAATATAATTTTACCGTGAAAATAATATGATTGGATAATCAGCCAGAACGACAGCGAAGACTACTACCGTGACGACGACTTGAAGAAGAATATGACAACGATGACTTCGGCGACGATAATAATAACAATATTAACAGCGACGGCTATTATAACAACATTAAAAGTATCGGCGATAACAATAATAATAATAACAACAATAATAACAACAACAACAACAACAAACCAACACCGCTCACAAAAGTTCACTAATAGTGGCAAAGGCAGTCGTCGTCACTGACGTTGGTCCGACTTGATTGCATCCGACCTTGAATGATTTGCGCATGTCGACATGTCTGTAGAAACTGTTAAAGATATACATAAATTTTGATGAACTTTACACCGGAGGGAGTTTCAAAGAGAGGGGAAAAAAAAAAGGGATTAGGTATTCTATTCCTTTCCATCGTCCACCACACCACACCCCCACTCCCGCCCATTCGTCCCCCGTAAACGTCTCTTTTTTTCTTAAAAAAAAAATACAAATACCTGGAAACAATATAAATAAATAAAAACCCCGATCGATTTATTTTGGCTCGTAATACTTTCACATCCTGCGAAAAAAAAAAAAAAAAAATCAGGACAAGGTAACTAACACACGAAAGTAACGATATCGCAAAATCTTCT